CAGACACACACGCGTGGTAAAGCCTGGCATTATGGGAACACAGGTCGCAGTAACCCTGAGTCCTCTGTATTAATGCCAGGCTGCAGGGCAGCAGACACAAACATTATCATACACATAATAGCAGGTGTGTTTCCGTGTGTGCGCACATGCAGCACTGACTGCACATTTACACTGGACGCCTGACGTTAACACGCCGCGTGCAGGTGCTGAGGTGACGGCCGGCTTTGACCTTTTTGTAGAGACTGAAATGTTCATGTGAGGAGTTAAATCAGAGCTGAGAGGTGCGATGAAACCACTGCTTTGTGATCCAAAAACCACACCTGTGCACGCACGCCGTATCTGAGGATTAGTGGTTTGCTTCTGCAACTAACTATTAAACTATCAGGGTATTATCTTCTTAAGAGTCAGGAAGTTGTGACGAATACTGTTTGTGATGCTCGCCAAGTGAGACAAGATGTTTGGACGTTCTACTTTGTTTTGTTTGAGATGTTTGCTTGGAGAATCAGCGGTTACCAGACTGAGGATGTGAACAACAGGACGGCGGCAGCACTCTGGACTGGGAGTAAGATGCTGCCCCAATGAGGGAGTTTAAGTATCTTGGGGTTTGTGAGCGAGGGAGAAAGGAGGAGACTGGTGGATGGATCGGTGCAGCGTCTGCAGTAATGTGGGCACTGTAACTATCTGTGATCGAGAGAGACCTGAATGTGAATGCAAAGCTGCTGATTTACTGATTGATCTGCTCTGTCTGTGAGCTGTGGTTGCAGGTATGAGCTGCCTCTGAAGGCTGTCCACATCCACAGGAGCCTGCTGAAGTGGTTCAGGGACCTGACTATCATGCCTCGTGGATGCCTCCCAGCTGAGGTGCTTCCTTGTAAGTCAACAGTCTGGGCATCTCTGCTTAAATGCACACAGCAGTGACCCGGACCTGCAAACCTGTTCATTTAGACTGATGTAGTGACTCCATGTAGCGCCTGCGATGTGACCAGCACCACTGTCAGCGTATTCATGACTGTGCATATTGTATTATGTTTGAATTCAACTTGTGGTCATGTCCTGGTGTTTTATACCCGATGGTAGAAACAACGGAAATGCAGGGACCTTTGTCGCTCTTGGCTCTCTGCTCTTTGTTTGCTGTGACATAGTCCACTGTGAGTGAGTCTATATGGCGTACACAAATATTTGATAAGAAATACCACATTTTTATATATCCGGTAGATGGGTGAATGTAGGAACACCCAGAATGTGAAAGTGAAATGATAATTGCATTTTCATTTCAGTTTGAAAACATCCATGCATGGAAACGATATTTGTGTGTTGTGATTGGTTGTGCTCTCATGGGTTTTATGGATTATTCGACTCTTCCAGGCAAAATCAAAGTACTGCCTACTTCAGTCGTAGGCATTATCTATACAGTCTATAAAGCATGTAATGGAAAAAGACAACGCTGACACTGCGAGTAAACGAGCAATGCTTCATATGTTTATATTTTTTTACTGCAGGACAGCAATGATGACACCCCCACTGCCGTCTCTTTCTGTGGTACCTTCTTCAGGTTATTTCCACCTCTGTTCTTGGTGGGATCTTTGCAGCACACTCGGAGTCGTGGGTTTCATCTGTTCATAGACAGTTTGCTTGGATTTAAATGATCTCCTGGGTTTTTAGAGAATATTTGTTATCACTGAGCTTGTGTTTGAAATACTTTGTAAGCAAAGCAACACATTCACACATTGTAATTGCAGTTGAAGTGTGGTTTCTGTGCTCAGTCTTTGTCAGCTAACAGACTTTCTCTGTCTTTATTTATTGGGGAAGGGACCCTCTACAACCCACACAACTAACTCCAGGCAGCTTTTGAAGGAAGCACAATTGATAAAAATGTGCACCTGTTTGTGTAGCAAGCCTATTGGGACGGTGCTTGTCTTTAACTAAACCAAAGTGTGTTTTTAAGGCTTTTTATTATTACCAGAGCACAGTTCTCCAGTCTGAGCACATTCTATTTAATCTCCATCTAAAGATACTTCTGACACTCAACATCTCCATTATTTATCTCTTTTTCTGGACTAGAGGAAGTGGAAAGAGACGTGACGCCTCTGCAGACACGCCGTGAGTCACATATGCAGTCGCACATTACTTAATCTAAACATAACCCTCGACAAACCTTTCATGACTTGCGTTTAGAGCACTTTAGGTCAAACACACACAGAGGAGAGAGTGTGTGTATACGTTTATTAGTGTGATACAAGATGATATAAACCAAATATTCACTGTTTACACAAACATTAAAGGCTACAGTCTGTCCATAAAGCATTTGAATCCATATAATCAAACATTACTCATCATCATCATCATGATAACAAAGTCATAACAGCTAAATCAGGAAGAAACAAACACACAGTCCGTACATGTGACTGTGTGCTCACACACACACATACACACACACACTGACAGCCCTGTGTAAGAAGCATGACATACAAAACGCTGTAGAAAAATACTCTTAAAAAACCAAACACACAAAACAACATCAGCAGCAGCAACTTGGAATGTTCTGGATGTGAGTCCGACCTCAGCACAGAAGGTCAACGGGGCAATTCGTTGGGCAACTCTTCCACTGGGTTAACAGGGAGTCAAAATGGGGAGAAGTGCTAAAATGTTGATCTCGCCAAGTGAAACAAATTCACAGCCTCCAATTATTCATTAGTGGACACGATGAGTGAAACATTTCCACCTTTGTTTTAAACTTATGTCTCAGGTTTAACAAACTCAGAGTTTTCACTAAACCTGCTTTCTGAAACAAAAGCCCAGATAACTGCAGGGTGTATTATGACCAGCATTCAGCCTTTTGGAGCCTCTGGTGGAGAAAAACAGGAATCACCGCCTGCATGTCCACTAGCTCCACCAGATCTCCCAGAAGTCTAAGGCTCCAGTCACAAGGCCTAGAGACTGGTTGGCAACCACCGGGCAACCACTGTGTGCCAGGGAAAAATGAGAATATGTCTTGCAGACAAATTAGAAGGAGTCACTGCAAACTGCTAACAACCAACCATCACGTGGACATTTTTGGTGGTTCACCTTTGTTGTGACTGATTTCACCTGGCAACAGCTAGCAACCACTTGCCAACCGATTGAGGAATACACGTTTCCCCCTGTGACCAGAGGTTGCTGAGTGTCTCTAGGCCTGTGTGACTGAGGCCTCAGTATGAGTTAGGGTTTTACTCTGTTGTATTGATGCTTCTTTGCTGTCTGTGTGAGTATTTTTGTCACACATATGAGGCAAACAAACAAAAACAGTTACCATTAATATTTCAGTGAATTCAGTGTGAGGCAGTTAGCTTAAAGCATAAATGTGGTAAACATGTGTATGTAAATAGAGGCAACACCCCGGTGATCACTCGGAGTACTGCAACAAAGAAAATTCAACCATTTTTTTCCCCCAACCCTCTCCATGTTTGAAGAGTCATCTAAAAAAACGCCGTCAAGACACGTAAACTGCAAACAAACCGTCTGTTGTGAGTTTTAATGAAGTCTTAATAACTTTTTTCCTCCTTCTAGTTCAGCTACGGTGTGAAAACTGTTACTGTTGAACAGTTGGACCTAAACGGCTTGTAAATACACAGCAAAAGCTAATGTAGCTTAGTGCTAACGCTATGAAAACACATCATTAAACGCTCTATACTGTGCTACATTTGTGCTTCGTAATCTAGCTGGCGCTAATTTGGCAGTTAATCGTTTGTGTTAGTGAGTCTGCTAGCTTTAAACTACAGTCTGACCGTCTGATACATGAGATAAAGCTCATAAGTCTTATGTTAACATTTGGATTAACACTAATGTTTCCACATTAGCAATACATTAAAGTTATACTTCACAGGCAGTTTAAATATTTGCTTTTTTGCGCTTTATCCACTTTGATGAACATTTAGGTTACTTTTAGATAAAAACTGGGTAAAACTTTACTTCAAGTCCCCTGATTTATCATTTATAATAAGCGTGTTATTAACTGTTTACGTTACTAACGATATATCTGTAAGCCAGAAACTTTAAAGGCTAATGATCTGCATTGTTCTAACTTCACCTCTGATTTTTCATTATCGTAAACAAACATGAATAAACACAGCTTAAAACTACATCGGTGTATGCTATATACAAAAATAAAGCTTGTGTTACATCTTCATGTGCCATTATACAGCACGACTGGGGTCGGGGGGGTCAGTTACAGGTTTCTGTCTGAAAGAAAATAAATGTAACTAGCAGCCGCGAGAACAAAGTTACATGTTGACCATCAAAGTTGCCCGATATAAATTGCCAGTGTGGTTTGAAGCACTTTCTGACGCTCACACAGCAGCTTACACTCACACACACACGTACAGTACGACATTGTACAAGTAACAAATTTGTTTTTGTTTTTGTTTTGTTTCTTTTTTTTTTACTGCTAGGCACTATAGAGTGAAGCATTGTGGGAAAATGAGTGCTCGGCTGGTCTGTTTTAGCAGCTTCAGCGCTAAACGCCTTAATATCATTAAAATGTTCGGTTTCACAGCTACTGTCCGGGAAACAGTCCTCAATCTTCTCTGAAATAGCAGATTTAGCTTCTGCTTACAGGATGTTTAACACAAACACAATTTTGTATCACAGCTGCAAAACTATCATTAATCTGTTAATTGCTGTTATTAAATAATTTTTAAAATAGGGATTAATGAGTTAGGTAAGTAAGTGAATCTATCCTGCTCATTTCCAGCTCCATATATGTATTCCTTGATGTTTCTAGAGTAGCTGTGCATGAGTCACACTTTATAATAATCCTTCTTTAACTTATACTGGGCCATGTCTGAAACAAGCTGTTTTAGCTCCTCCTTAAGACAATGTTCTTCAGAAATCTTGAGGAGTATTTCTGGCAAAGTAGCCGGAGAAAATGACTGTGAAATGGAGTTTTTCTGCTTTAATGCTGATTTAAAGTTTGAAAAAGTAGTTTATGGAGTAACAGACCATGTGCCATCTGATACACATGAACATCACAATGTTGAGTTTGAACTACTGCTCTAAGTCCTCTCTCACACAGGCCTGGAGGCTGGTTCGCAACCTCCAACCTGCAACTACTCGCCGACTGCACGTCAAACATCACACTTTTACGTTTTCCTTCTGCTTGGTGAGCAGTTGCAGACAAGCTTCGATGCAACCTTTGCAATCTGTTTGGCTTGGACTGGTTGAACTGGTCAAACTAGAGGTTTTGAGCAGCATCTTTTTAACCAGTTTCACCCATCCAACTCCAGTAACCACTCACCAGCTGATCTGGGGATACACTTCTTTGAGCAGTTGTTAGGTCTGTGTGAGGATAGTGTAGTTTGTGACAGAAGCAAAAGCTGTGAAATGAAACCACTGCTGAATGTCTCATGATGGAGTTTAACCAGAGTTTAAACAGACTTTACTGTTTACCTTACAATATAAAGCATCTTGATGTATCTGTTGTTGTGATTTGGTTCTATATAAATAAAGTTGAACTGAAATAAATTGAATTGAAAAGTGAAAGTGTCCTGGGTGTTTTCTGTGACTTCAGTTAGCTGAGATGAAGCCCAGCAGAGGAACTGCCGTCTTTGACGCTTCGTCGTTTTTTCAGCCCCAGGAAGTTTAACGGTTGGTTCGAACTACATAATTTAAAAGTATCTTAGTATAAAGTCCAGCATGAAGCACTGAGCGTTGGTTAACCGTCACAGAGGTTATGTTTTTGTTTCTGTGATGTTTGTAGGTTTGAATGTGTCGAGTAATGAAAACAATAAGATCAGAGTTCAGTGACTGATTGTATGGATGTAACTTTCAATCACCGACAACATCAGCTGCTGCTCACACAGCGTCTGAAGGCTATCAGTATAGGCACAGGTTAAGGAACTGAACGTGCGTTGTGGCTGATGATGACATCACTTCCTTCTGGAATGAATGAGAGCTTGGAGCAGGAAGTGTCAGGTGAGTGAGCGTATGTGTCAGTCGGTCAGGTATGTGTGGATGTAGATCTGCTGTTGGATCCAGGGGGTGAAGTGCGTGACGTTGCTGTAAACCCCGGGTCCGAGCACTTTACTGAAGCACACGCTGCCCCACGACGTCAGGCCGAACAGCGTCCAGCGACCGCTGCTCTCCTCACACACCAGTGGGCCGCCGCTGTCACCCTGAACACACACACACGTTAAACACACACACACTGAGAAACTGTGTGGCCTCGGTACTTCATGCTGGACTGGTGCAGATGTTACCATGCAGGAGTCGACGGTTCCAGCTTCATAGCCGGCACAAAGCATTCTGGGAGTGATGGTCTTCATGTCGAAGTAGGACTGACACTGAGACAAAGAGATGATCCGGACCTCCCCTTCCTGCAGTTTAAAGGGCACTGCACACAAACACACAGGATGAAGAGGAGGCTTTAAATATAATAAGAGTGCTCAGGCTCTCGAAGTACTCTGAGCTTTCCTTTCAAAGGACGTTAAAGCTCAAAGATCAGAAGGAATGAGCGCTGTTTTCACACGGAGGACGCTCTTGGCGACTAACAAAAGCACGTCTTTTATGTCGTTTTGTTAGTTCCAAGTGTCCTTGGACATAAAAATGAACTCCGAGTTGCCCCTGATGCATCCACTGGTGTCTAAGTGTGTAAATGTAAAAGCTGCCTAGGCGTACATAAAATCACTGCATGAGTGCAGGATTAGGTGATTGAGACGTGGAGTAGAAAGCATTTTGAGCACTTAAATTGAGTGAAAAGGCAGATTATGATTATGATTATAGAGACTGAGGTGAAAATAGGATAAAAACGATAGACTTGGTGTTATTTTTGGAGCCACCTGTGTGACCCTTCTGAAACATGCTGGTGTGTATCTGGTGGAATCTCAAATATTTTCCTGAGTGGAAACAACCAGCTGCAGCAGCTGCATCGGAGCTGGAACGCGACCCGGCCACGCCTGGAGCATTCCCAGGATCGGCGTCGGTCCTGTGACACACGTGTGGGTGCAACAGTGAGACCAGACGCGCTCCGAGCTCGTCACATTTCAATCCACACAATATCTTTGGTAAACTACGCGAAGAGTCTTCTTGCTTAACTGCTAGCTAATCTGAAATGAATGAAACTAGTTTGAGAGTTTAATGAAACATCAGTTTCATTAAACTCTTTCCTGGATGCGGCATCCAGGAAAGGTTTGTAGTTTCAAGACAGGGACAGGAAAGGGGGCAGGGATAGCTCAGTAGGTAGAGTGGTGGCCCCATGATCGGAAGGTCGGGGTTCGATTCCCCTGAACAGCTCCCCTCAGGTACCCTACACACTGCTCCCCGGGCGCCCAATGGCTGCCCACTGCTTCACTGAGTGAATGGGTTAAATGCAGAGAGGAATTTCCCCATGGGGATCAATAAAGTACACTTTCTTTCTTTTAGTTTCAAACCAAGCTGCATGATTTCAAGTTTATGTAACTTTCGCGGTGATGGAGTCTAGATTTAGAGCGCTTGAGCACAGAGCAGCATGAGAAACTGAGTTACATCCACTCTCTCTCAGAGTGAATCTGAATAATGAGGGCAGAAACTCTCTGACTCGGCTCATTCTTTCTGCTTTCAAAAAGAGCTGCCAGCCTGATGTTTTTCAACCAGCAGATGAAGACAGAGAGCAGGACTCTGCAAAGTCTAAATGCACCGACTCTGCGTGACGAGAATAAAACTCTGGTAGACGAAAAATGATTGAAAGATTTGTGTTTCAAACAAACAAAGTGTGTGCGTGCCTACTTGTGCTGCAAGTACAAAAAGCGAGTTTAGTCTAAGGTTAGGATACGGCCAAAGAGTGAAGTGTGTGTGTACTCACTCCTGTTGCCCATGTGACCCCAGCCGGTGATGTAACAGTAGGAGTCGGGTAAAGGCAGCTGGCCCGGCTGAGGAAGACACACCGGTCTGACGAAGGTCGTCTCCTCAATCTGCAAACATTAACACGCCTCATCAGTCCAGTGCGATTACAGCTGATACTCGATCCTGTGCAGCAGCACGCTCTGACCTCAGAGTCCAGCTCCACTATACTGATGTCGTAGTCCACCACCGCCCGGTTGTAGCGCGGGTGTACGATGATGGAGCGCACCCCTCGGCTCTGACTGTGAGCTCCTGGGTGGTCCAGGTTGTTAATGCCCAGCACCACCTTCCACAGGTCTGCACTCTCTCTCCTGTGACGCACACACCGTTAGTGTGTGAGGTTAAAATAAAATGTGGCTCACTGACGACACACCCTGAAGCCTTACCCCTCGAAGCAGTGTGCGACTGTCAGAGCCCACTTCCGGGCGATGAGGACGCAGCCGCAGACGTGTCCGCTCTGACCGCTCTGCAGCGAGCACTGCCAGGGCCACGCCCCCCGCCGGGACACCCGGCCACCCAGAATCCGCTTCTTCCTGTGAGGGTGAAGGCCCACCGCCTGGCGTAGACCGCACTCTGACGGCAACAAAGAGACAAACTGGATTTGTTTATGATGAGCCGTCACAGCCAACCAGCAACCTCACAGCCTGCAGTTCCTCCAACGTCCACTTGAGGCTCCAAAAGGGCAACAGCCCACATAGACTCCCGTGTTAAATGTCCACTTTACACCAGAAACAAACATGTTTACAGCCTAATACAGAAAACGGCTTTGGTCTCTGATGCCGTGTTAATTATTAAAGTTATATTCGTGGGGGCGTGGCCTCTTTGGCTGACAGCAGGACGGCGACTTGAGTTCCTGAGCTGTGTTTGTACAGTTGGAGCCTTTTTGAAGCATTTTTAATGCAATTATCTGATAAATAATAATAATATTGATAATAATAATATTGATATATCTGGTGTGTGGTTAATTGTACTAACAGATCGTCACTTCAGGCTTTAAAATGGCGAGGCCTCTGCTTCACGGTGTGGTTTATACAATCTATAATTGTTATGTCTGCTTCAGTCAACCTACAGACAACCTGCAGGTTGTGACAGAGAACGCGGTATAATTGGTCAGGAGCTGACCATCTCTGTAATCTGACAGTCAACATCTGTCAGACAGCAGCTGGACGGCTGAACTCCAAAATACCAAACTACACTTAAACCTTGAGTGCAGGTCCAGCTGTTGATGCTGATCAACAGCTGGACCTCATACATAACGCTGTATAAGTGACTGTGACTGAATGTGGCTGCTTTGACAGTTTTTGAGATTAAACTTTTAAATTTGAGCTCCATCTGTTGGTAGCAGGAGGAGTGACAGTGCTGATCTACTCCTGCTCATGCAAAGTGCCTCCGTTTGACTCTTCAACTCAACTACAGTAGCTTCAAAATCACACTTCTTTGTCTCACACTGGGCCTTTGCACAGCCCCTTAAAAACAGGCATTTTTAGCTCCATCCTTTATAAGTCAAACCCTGAATGGCTGGAACATCAGAGATAACGATATAGATGCTCTCTGTGACATCATGCAGAGCCAGAGCAGAAAAAAAACCTTAGCGCACCATTATTGACCTCATAATTATTTTATGAGCATCCACCACCAGACTGTGAGGGAAAAGTTAAACACGTCGACTTTAACATGCTTCTACAAACACACTGATTTGAGAGAAATCAGTAAGTAAGGGATAAAAGAAGAAGGCTTACCTTCTCTGGTACACAGGACTGAAACTCTCTGCCTGGAGTGACACGCATGACTGCAGGACAGACAGAGAAACATCTGTTATAAACACATCACTGACACCAGCTCACAGTAATTAAAGCAGCCAGGCCATCATCCTGCCTGAACAGGTGTCCTGTTTCCTGCCTGATGGGCTCAGCCCAGATACTGCAGACAGTTTTTAACATCAGTGACCGGCAGACAGACTCAGTGCTGGACTGAGGCCCTCTTATTAAATTAGCCTCAGTTTGGTCTCTTTGACCGACTCACCACAAGCTTCTTACCTTCTCTTTTCCAGCCGGGCCTGCAGAGCAGAACCGTTCCTCTGGTGCCACTCGGGGTGGACGTGTAACCAGCGTCGACGGCCTTGGACGCCGGGCTGATCGGGCACCCTGGAAACAGAGGAGGGAACCCTGCAGAGACAAACACAATATGCTTATTCCATCAGAAAGTCAGAAATGCTCACACTGCAGGAAACAATGTGTTTGCTTTAGGTCAGTGAAGCTGTCTGGGTGGAGTGTGCACGAGACAGAACGCCGAATTCACCTGACAATTACCTGCTCTATTCTCACAGAATAAATCCACAAATAATTACTTTTACAAGGATAAATCTGACAGGATGAAGCCCATCTGTGAGTCAGACATCTGTTTTCACCTCCAGCTCCTCTGGGTAATGTCTACAAAGATCAATGCCTGCAGTGCACGTCTAAAAACTACTTTTAGGTGGTTTGTGTATGTATTTAGAGTTTCCCTCAGAATAACGTGTCTCCAGTCAGTTTCTCATCCCAAGGGCAGACTCCAACTCCACTGTTCTGAACTGCAGTAACTGAACCGTCTCAGAACTGATTTTCAGAGCGGAGGACAGTTTGAGTCTGTCAGCTGCAGTCCGGGATGATGCAGCTGGAGTCGGAGGTGAGATTCTGAACGAATATCAAGGAGCTGGTCAGCCAGGCGGGGAAACACAAGACAGGAAGTCCAACTGGATGTTTTTACTTTACACTTTGGGGACTCGTCTCATTTCTCTCCACATCATAAATAAAAATATTTGAATGTGAAGAAAGTCTTTAATAACGTGTGCGTGTGTTACTAACCTTACCCTAGTCCCAGCTGGTTGCAGGTCAGTTCGCTCAGCTCGTCGTTCCACTCATCTGCACAGACCTGATACTCTGCCGCCGTCTTAAACACCGTCAGCACAGAGCCCGATCGATCGGACAGAGACACTGCAGAGAGAACAGATCAGTGCATGTTTGTGTTGTAAATACTCATCGGAGACGAAATACTGTAAAATATTTAGAAGTCACGTCCGAAATTCCTTTTTTTAAAACCAGTAAATAAATGTTCCCTGTGCAACTTTATCATGTTGAACTTCACTTTACGCAGATGATACACAGCTTCCTACTACAAATACTCTCTGCTCTTTCATCATTATCAATAGTTAGTGAATGTATAAATAAGCAGACACAGAGATTGATTTTGCAGGATGAAAAGTAGAAGGACCAAAGCTGCACTCAGGTGTCCCTGTTAACATTTTAAAGAACAACCCAGCGTTTTAAAAGTGGGACTATCCTACCGCAGTTCCATTCGTCGGAGCTGTCTGAGCAGTGCTTCTTTCCATCACACCACAGAGTGCGATGGACACACTGATGGTTGTTGCAGGAAAGCTCGTTATCCCTGCACACCGCTGAGGAAATATGAATGGATATCATTAATAATACAGTCGGGAAGGTGTTTATTCGCCCAGCGCAGAACAAAACATAATAACATCAACATCAGGGAGTCTTACAGCAGTTGGTCTCGTCCACCAGCTGGGGGCAGTCTGGGAACCCATCGCAGATCATGCTGGCTTTAATGCAGACTGTGCTGCCGGGACACTCCCACAGAGCACGCTCAGAGCAGCCTGACACACAGAAAGGTGAGATCATGATGATCATCATCATGCTGCACTAAACTGCTGAAGCATTCGTCTCGATGAGGCCGCGGCGGCCTCGATGACTCTGACATGACTCACCGCAGTTGTCCTCGTCGCTGTGGTCGTCACAGTCCAGGTGTCCGTCACAGCGTTTGCTTGCCAGCACGCAGCGACCTGACCTGCACTTGAAGTGGCTCGGAGAGCACTCTGTCATCACGAAAACACACATTAAACAGAAGATTTTAGTTTTAGGAGCAGAAAGTTTCAGCGACCGTCTTCGGGACAAACTGAGTGTACCGTCGACTCCGGCCTCTGGCAGCAGGCAGGTTGTGTTTCCTCCCTCCTCTGGAAACTGACTGCAGTCTGAGTCTTCCGGCCACTGCAATCCCACAATGCTGAGCACCGACTCACACTTCTCCTTTGCACTACGACACAACGACCTGCAGGGCGAGAGGTGAGGACAGAGTGAGAGAAGGAGAGAGGAAAGGTATCTGAAACCTTCCAGAGGAATAAAGTGATGATTAACTAGCTGACTGTGCGCTGACCTGCAGGGCGGCACCCTCTGCAGGCTGACCGGGTCACACTTTGGTACCAGCAGCGTGCAGGCGTAGAACATTAGGTACTGGTAGCAGCCGGTCTGGACCAAAGCGGGGAAGAGAGAGGACTCCCAGGACACGGAGCTCTCTCTCTGGGACAGGTGACCCAGGTAGTTGGGGAAGCTGGTGAGGTTGTAGGGCAGATTCATACACAGCTCCAGGCTGATTGGCTCACAGCGAGCTGGGACACAGAGCGCAGAGTGAAGACTAATACGAGAGGGAACCTACTCACTGTCACCCACATAATGCATACGACATGACTAACTTCCATTTTTAGGTTTAAAATACATCCAAGCATGAATCAACTTCAGCCTGTAAGTTAGAAGGTAATTAAAAGCTAAGAAGTAAAAAGAAGTAAACACGCAGTGCAGAATGTTTTTAAAGTCATGTAGGAATATGTGAACATGTAAGTGTGTGGGGACTGATGACACCATTTCCTCAGGAGCTAAATGTTTCTGCTTCATACAGAATTCCAGCTGCTCAAAGCTCTGGACTTCCTTTATTGTGTTTTTCATCTGATAAAGCTCCAGATGTTTTCAGACAGGTCTGACCTGCAGACAGGACAGTTTAACAGTCAGACTCTTTTCCTACAGAGACCTGCTTTTGAAATATGAGCAAAATGATTTGTTTGCCATCATCATGCTGAAACAATCTTTAAAAACAAAACAAAAAAAACATCATCTGGATGAAGCAGATGTTGTTCCTAAACATGAGGATATGGGTCGGCATTAATGGAGCCTCACAGATGTAGCAGGCACAAGCTTCACTGGGCGATTCGGAGCATCAGATTAGGATATTGGATTCAGAAGGTGCTGCTGTGTGAACACAGAGGCATCAGCGCCTGGATTTTACCATCTGTGCACCTCATTACTGTAACTCTTCATTTTGGGTTAAATAGAAAATTCAACTAGAAACTGAAAGATGCGTTTTTTGTAATTTTACAGCCAAACTTAAAAAGTAAATCCAGGTATGATACTTGTCAGATTTATCTTTGTGAGGACAGTTTGTTGATGACTCACTGCAGCTGCTGTTGCTTTGTGGGTCGCACACGGCGTTGCCGCCAGCACACATGGGCTGACAGGAAGTGGCAATACAGCTGGGCTGACCGGGAACACATCCACCCTGACCTGGACACACACACACACACGTAAGGCGCTATAGTGGAAACACTGGAAATAGGATGTTGGAGATGTGTGACAGAGGAGCATTGCTGGGACAGGGTGACATGCAGGCAGAAGCTGAGACTTTACAAAGTGAGTCAAACCAATCAACCTGATAGCTAATGAACTGTGTCTAGCTTGAAGAACAGTCAGTATATATAACAGTTTGGCTCCTGTAACTTGTTTTAAGTTTTAAGAATCTGCCTCTGTGCAGGAAAGCTGCTTTATGAATAAAAGTGTCTTGTGGTGACGATTAGGATGTGATTAGCTGTGAACATGAATTATTATCTTAGTCATTAGGGATCTAAGATTTACCAAGTCATGTGTGAGATGTTTGTTCATCTGAATGATCTTCTGTCTTTTATAACAGCTTTTATGGTCAAAAGGTTCGTTTGTCTGAACTTTCTTTTAGTGTGATTTTGTGAGTCTCACTCTGGTCTACGGTGCAGTTGTCTTCATCGCTGCCATCTTTGCAGTCGTCCTCGCCGTCGCAGCGAAACGCAGAAGGAATGCACTGACCGTTCCTGCACTCCAGCAGACCCTGACTCTTACAAGCTGCAAACACACACACACACACTTACTGTCATTTTTGATGAGTTATAGTAACATGTGACACAGCAGTAAATCAGCTGAGCGCTCACAAGTTGTCACGTTTCCCTCGGAGTGGAAACCATGTGAGGCAGACTAAAGCTTTCTTCACATTCACTATTCAGTCCTTTCCTCTATGTGTACATTTGTTCCTGCTGCAGTTCCATTTTTTTTCTTTTAACTGATCCAAAGATGCTGTTTTTTGGTAGTGCACCACATGAAAGCACCACCAGAGGGCAGTGTGTACCACTGGAAAGTGTTGCTGAGCTCAGTGAGCTGTGAAAATGGGAACAACCAGTAGCAAACAAAGTGTAAGTAGTAAGTTGTTTAAATTATGAGCGAATCAAGAAGGTTAAACCTCTCGTTTCTTAGTTTAAATCCTTCTGTGGTTGTCTATGGAAAAAGTCAGGAGTTACCATGGCTACTATTTTCCTAATCAATTAAATATCAATTTGAACACAACTTTAGATTTATAAACATGACTGATGTCTCAAAGCTAAGCCAGCTGTCACTCACAGCAGTTGAGTTCGTCGCTCTTGTCCAGACAGTCGTGGTCCCCATCGCAGAGCCAGTCTCTGGACACGCAGCGCCCATCACCACACCGGTGCTCCCGGGCCACATCACACACTGTAAACATACAATTAGCTACACTCAGATAAAATAAATAACATGAACGACCTCCAGAGTCTGGACTGAGCTAATGTTCTATTAACAGCATTGAATTCACTTAGAGTTTGCGATTGTAATAATGAAATGAGTTTAAGTCTTCCATTACGGTCAGTAAAAGGTTTGGGTTAGCCATTTCCTGAAAAAGCTAGGTCACTGTGTACAACATTACAGTTAAAGCCTTTAAAGGATAGGGATACAAAGACACGATTTGAAATGATGAGACTCAGAAATTTGATTGATTTAATGCTCTAAGTGCTCCCTTTTGTCCCTATCCTGGATCTTTAGTGTCCCAGAGAGGGATTAGATACTGTTATATCCTTCTGCTGGTGAGGGATATCATTTAGAAGATAGGTGGCTTTAAAGAGGAGCTAAAGTTTGTTCGAGACAGAGGATGAACTGATGGCTGCACAGAGGTCCAAAATAATACTTTTTAAAAAGTTGATTTTGAACTCATGTAAAGCTACTGTAGTGTATGAAGAACAGAAATACAAAAGGTAAAAATGAGCAGAGCAGCTCCACTTTTAATGACATTTAGCTTTGTGGCGTTCCTGTAATTTAGCTGACCAGTTACATATGTTGCATTGCCTCAGGAATGATAACTGGCTTC